GTCCTCCATCACTCATGCTGTCTGTCCGTCCTCCATCACTCATGCTGTCTGTCTGTCCTCCATCACTCATGCTGTCCATCCTCCATCACTTGGTTAATGTAGCGTTTTCCATTTCTTCATTGAAGTTTGCTGTCTTTCCCTTTTCCTGCTCTGTTCTTTGAATAGTTTTGTTGATGTTGTTGTCTGTTTCTTTTCTTTGGGTGCTGGAGAACACACTCAAATCTTGTATATGCTGGACAAGAGCTCTGCCACTGAGCTGTACCCACAGGTGTTACAGCGCAGACCTTGTTTTTTTTTGAGACAGGGTCTCACTATGTAGCTCTAGCTGTCCTGGAACTCACTATGTAGACCAGGCTGACCTTGAACTCACAACCATCTTCCTGCCTCTGGTTCTGAGTGCTGGGGTTAAATGTATGTGCCATTATACCCAGCCATAGCTCAGATTTAGGTGTGTATCAAAGGCTATTTCAAAGAAGAGAATGGTGGTTTGACGCTATGACCTTAGAGTCTATGAATGTACTTAGGATACTCCTAATTCATATGTGGAGTCCAGAAAGACAAAGAATTCTCTTACAGCCTAAAATTGAACTTAACAGAATGAGTGAAGGTGTATTGATTAACATACACTGGTCAAGTAATGGGCCTTTACACAGCCCTGAAAATTTCAAGATAATTGAATGTAACCTTTAATTGAATGAATCCTGGGATTTCTCCGGTGCTTAAACTCTAGAGAAGTTGAGTTGGACCTCCAATCCATAGACCATACTTCTCAGGGCTTCCCTAAATTCTTAGGAATCTATCTCACTATAGTGGTATCTTCCAATTGCTTCCTGCCCCTCCCTGAGCTTTTTTCATTGCTTTTGTTTTGTTTTATTCTGTAGCACCATTTTTTGTTGTTGTTGTTTTTGTTTTTTTAATATTTATTTATATATTATGTATACAATGTTCTGTCTGTGTGTATGCCAGCAGGCCAGAAGAGGGCACCAGACCTCATTACAGATGGTTGTGAGCCACCATGTGGTTGCTGGGAATTGAACTCAGGACTTTTGGAAGAGCAGGCAATGCTCTTAACCACTGAGCCATCTCTCCAACCCCTAAGATGTGAGTCTTGAAAAGTAGCAGGTATCCGGATAAATGGTTAACCTCCAAAATAAATAAATATTTAAAAAAAAAGTTAGGAAGGTAGCGCAGGTGGTAAAGCGCTGGCCGTGCATGGACCCATGCCCAATGTCCAGGTAACAAAGCTATACACAGTAGCCTGTGCTGGTTATTCCACTGCTGGGGAGGTGGATCAGGCAATATTGTTGGAACTTTTTTGTTTTGTTTTGTTTTGCTTTTCGAGACAGGGTTTCTCTGTAGCTTTGGAGCCTGTCCTGGAACTAGCTCTGTAGACCAGGCTGGCCTCAGACTCAGAGATCTGCCTGCCTCTGCCGCCCAAGTGCGTGCGCCACCACGGCCTGGCAGGATTCTGATTCTAAAGGTCTGAAGCGAGGTGATTTTTTTTTTCACAGTCTAGAAGACTGATAATGGCACTGCTCCCTGAACCACCAGTCTGGGCTTGACAGGAGGTAGCCAAAATCTAGCACCCGGGAAGAGAGGAGGCAGAAGTGAGTTCGGGGAGAAACTATTACAAAACTTGTAGATGAGTTTTTTGCCCTCTAACGTTATTCTCGGCTCACGCGTTTGCTCGCTGCATTAATTCAGACTCCTCTCTCAAATCTTATCTCAAGAAAGGATTCCTCCTGCAAGGGCAGAGTAAAAATCCCTGGGCCCAGCAGCTTGACAGCATCCCAGACACTCGCGTATTATTAGACTGTTTAGAAATATGCTCAGCGGTTCTGAGGCTGTCATTCTGCAGGGTTATTTTGATACCTTGAGGAGATATTTTTAGAGCAAGGGACCCAAATTAAAACATTGTGACAAGAAAAGTGAGATTAAGGAAAAACTTTGTTAACTGGAAAACTTGCAGCAAATATCCAGTCAAGAGCAGGGGAAGTAGCTACAAAATCTACCTGAGAGCTGTTGGAGAGGAACAGGAGATAAAGAGATGGTCACAGCCTGCGTGCTCGGCGGGATCAGCTTCCTGTTAGTCGGGAAGGTAAGGTCTTACTTAGCCTTTCAGCCTGTTTTGACAGGCCCAGATGCCTCGGATTGGCCTGGGCAGAACTAATCCCCTGTCCACACCTCAGGGTAAGCCTAGGCACTTGACCTTCACTTTGTGTGCTCTTGAAAGCTCTGGTTTTACTTTAATCCCCAGGTGCTTGATTGGGGCCTGGACTACGGTTAGCCAGACCGCCTATCTTTCTGTCCTTTCCTGTACCTGTCCTCTCAAGATCAGTCCTGCCTGTGACGTTTCTCCACCTCTATTTGAGAGCTTCCGCGACTTAGATGTAAAGACCTATGTAATCCTCCAAACCACCCCTGAAGAGGTGCTCACCCCTGCATTATACCCGCTAGAGCCTGGGTCCTAAAGTCTTTAATGAGTTCTTCTGGACCATTTGCTGCACCTTCAGAGCCCAGTTGGTTTCCTTGATTCAGACCCTGATGACCTTGGTGCAGGAGTGCCATGGCCCTCACCTGGGAGCTGTGGGCGCTGTGTGCTGATACAGTATAGTAGCTGTGATAAGAATTTGAATGTCCTTTCTCTTCTAGGGGTCTTGATATAGTTTGAGTTGCATAACTGAATAATTTGCCTTAAGATCAAAACACCTTCTTTAGCCATTCGAATGATGCCCTTAAGTTTCTCATCAAGGAAAGGGGTAAAGGAGAGTTCTTTGGGGGAACAGAATGTTTCTGTGCAGCTCAGAGAGGGGTGGGGGAGAGAAACAGATCTTCAGATCTGTGAGGCAAAGTTCAAGGAGATGCTGAGAACCGTTTTCCACGCTTACTTAAGTCAGAGTACATAACAAGAAAGTTGGGAACTCAGTCTTGTGGACCTATAGTAGGGAGTCGGCGCATGATCGCTAGGAGACCAGTCTGTGTAGTAACGGAGAATGCCAAGCTGCCTAGAATGGAGTGTGGGCAAGCTAACAGGCCTCCCTCCCACACCCCTCATAGAAAACTAATAAATATGGTGAGGAGCTTTTAAAAAAAATATTTATTTATTTGTGTGTGTGTGTGTAGGTCAGAAGACAGGTTTTTGTTGTCTTTTTTTTTTTTTTTTTTTTTTTTTTGAGACAGGATTTTTCTATGTATAGCTTTGGAGCCTGTCCTGGAACTTGCTCTGTAGACCAGGCTGGCCTCGAACTCACAGAGATTTGCCTGCTTCTGCCTCCCAAGTGCTGGGATTAAAGGAGTGCACCACCACCTCCTGACCAGAAGACAATTTTGGGATTGAGTCTCTTCTTGCACTTGTGGGTCCTGGTGATCAAACTCAAGCTACCACACTTCAGGCAAGGCCCTCATCCACTGAGTCAGCTCACCATCCCATGGTGTAGAGCTTTTAAAAATAAATGTGGCCTGGAGAAATGGCTCAGAGGCTAAGAGCAGGGGCTGCTCTTCCAGAGGTCAATTCCTAGCCCCCACATGGTGGCTCACAATCACCTGTAATGAGATCTGGTGCCCTCTTCTGACTGACAGGGACACATGCAAGCAGAACACTGTTTACATAATAAACAAATATATCTTTTTTAAAAAAATGTTGCAAGGAATAACACTGTTAAATGAATTGACTTGGCCTAGAGTAATTTTATGCTGACCAGTTGAATTTGAAGTATGTTTCCCAAAAGCAATGGATTTGTGTTTGGTTTTAATGTTATATATGAGCCATTTCTCTGGCTGTTATCGGTGCAGGCTGCTCCCCATGTTTGGTAATAAAGCCATTATGTAAACAGTACCGCCATC